CTAATATATAGTTTTATGAGTAAAATAAAACAGTATAAAGGGAGATTAGGGAATGTACATGGTATTACCTCATCCTTTAATTTCAGCTTCCCCTTTTTATTTTCATAACAGTACCATCAGTAAAAATAGTCTCATAATATTTGATAATATCTTCTAAAAAGTATAGAACAGAATCATCTCTAGAAAGTGCTTTATCGGCAGGAGAAACGATATATATACTGTTCTAAACGTTTAGTGTCATATAAAAAACATTTACAATGACACAATTGGGGTAAAAAAATAGCAGTAGTAACTCTTTATCTAACATTAAAACTCTATAAAAAATAAATTTTATTTTCTAGTAAGTTAAATTTAATACATAATTATTGTTGTTTGTAAGTCAGTATCTAGGTATAACTGTAAAATTTAATATTATAGAAACTTGGTCACTCATATTACTTGTACTCAGGTACTTTTTTTCACATTATTTTGATTTTTTTCATCAATTTTTTAAAAAATCACTTCATTTTACATTGACTTACATAGAAAATTGACTACGCTGTCATTAGACATGCCAACTACAGTCAATTTCGCGAACTTTATAAAAAGAAGGACGGAAATTTGAAATTTGATTCGCCGATTCGCCTCCTTCTCTCTAGTCTTCATACTTTTGGACCACGGCTGACAGTTGTGTCAGTTTTGTGACAGATTGACATTCGACTTAATGGTAACCGCAAAAATATACCTTAATTAAAGCAAAAGTGATAATGTCAACTTTAAAACTATGATTAATTCAATATTTGGAAATATGCATATTCTTCGAACTTTGCTGTATTAACCTTGGTCGATATTTAGGTATTCAAATCAGTTCTACAACATTTTGAACGATAGTCTACAGTCTACTTATAAATAAATGGTTTGGGGGCTACCGCCCACAATTCAATTTCGTTATCGCTCGAGACCGATCTTTCGCTTTTCGCTCTCTTCGTTCTAATCCGAAAGAACATCCGGTCGTTAACGAGTTCACAAGTTCAGAGATCTTTGCGTATGTATCGGATAAGATTGTCCGAATCACGGAAAAAGAATTAAGTAGCGGTCAGAGTCGAGTTAATAGCGACCAAATATGGAAGAGGACTGTCGCTGACCGGTGGTATGAAAAGGATAAGAAAATCGTCAGCTAAATACCTAGTATTCATCTAGATTTTATATTTACAAAAAAAAATATGAATACTTGTTTATCTAAAAAGATACAGAACTAGAATGGTATCTACTAACAAAAAGTAGTTTAGGAACAATATCTTCACAAAATTCAGAAAATCAGGACGATAAAGATAACGACAATGGAAACATGCTCAGAAAAGATATTTCAAAGATCATCAATAAGCCTTCCGAACAAACCTTTTGGCGATGTTGTTTTAAGGGAAATGTGGGATCTTTTATTTTATGATCCCAATTTTTAAATGAAACAATAGAAGTATAGAATATGTATATGAATGTATATAATATAATTCCATCATGACCGATATGTAAATACAACACAATTATTACGTTATGTAAACACAATATAGTGTGTCCATGGATGAACGGGCAAGGTCGAGTTGTCTCCCGTCTTGAGCAGGTAGTTTTTTTATGGGTCGAATTGTCTCCCATCATAGGTCGAGTTGTCTCCCAAGCTAATGTACATTAAAAGGTATTAATTTTCACAAATTATAACCGTTGTTGCCAAATCAAAATTTTTATTTTTAAAAGTACGTTGAACTATTGATACCTTTTTCTTTTTGTAAAATGTCTCTCAGGATATAGAAACCATTTAACTACATTGAAATAGAAAAGTAAGAAAATGATCCTTAGATTTATTTATTTCTAACGATAATCTGCATATAAATCTAGTTTTAATCTTAAACGTTAAAAGTAATTTTATATAGAATCTTTGTTACAAGTTATAAATAAGTAGTAAGAAAATAATCCTTAGATTTATTTTTAACTATAACCTGCTTTTACACCTTAAATATTCATTAATAAATACTGATGGTAATTACATTTAAATCTAGTTTTAATCTAAAACGTTACAGGTAATTTATATTTACATTAAAATAACATTAATTTAATCCATCAACATTTTTCAAATGTAGAAATAGGTACCTGCTTTCCCTCCTTCGTCTTATAAAGGGAGATATTAAAAATAGTAAACTATATTTCATATATTCTTCACAAGTTTCAGAGATTGTAAAGTTTGTTTAAACCGAAGTTGTAGAATAATTAAACGTGTGTACAGTGAAACTATGCGTATAATGGAGGCTATAATAATTAAAAGTGGAAGAGGCAAAGATTTATTAGTGATCAAAGGGTTTAAATTTTCATTCCACAAGTTATTAGCAAAAGACACTTTAAAAAGATGGCTTTGTGCGTCCAGGAAAACGCAGTGCAAAGCTTTTGTTAAAACAAAATTGGACCGTCTTGAAGTGCTAGAATTTTGTTTAAACCACAACAATGGGAAATTATTAGAAGAACTGCTAAATAGACTCTAAGCAATGCTGTAAAAATTAAAGAAATAGAAGATATTTCGGCAAAACCAATGTGCTGGATTAAAAAGGAGGTAAGAGAATCCCACTGTGAAACTATTACTACTCATGACGTTGAAAGGATGAGAAAAAATATGTATACTGCTAGGTCTAAAATTGCACCAAAACTTCCAACTGATATAGTTGAATTTCATAGTTTATTAAATTCTGTTACATTAAAAACTAATAGGGACGAATATTTTCTTCTCAAAAATGATGAAATAAATAATATAGTCATGTTTTCATGTAAAACTAATATTTATGCTCTTGAAGAAATAAGTGAATTATATGTTGACGGTACTTTCGATTATTGCCCTATTTTTTTTACAATTGTTTACCATTCATGGTTTCAAAAATAATTATTATATTCCTCTCGTTTTCTTTCTTTTGAAAAACAAAAATACAGTGTCATATAAATTAGCTTTACAATATTTAAAAGAAATATACCTATCCATAACAGGTCACGACTTTTTTCCAAAAACTATAACTTCAGATTTTGAATTAGCAATACACAAAGCAATTCGCGAAATTTTTCCAAAAACAGAAATTAAGGGATGTCTTTCACCTAGGTCAAAGTTGGTATAGAAAAATTCAGACTTTAGGACTTTCCACCGAGTATCAAGATAATTTAGAAACAGATATAACTAAATACCTTACTTATATTTTTGGTTTACCATTCCTTAAAGCAGAAGACGTTGGCGATTGCTTTGTTCTTGATCTCGTTGCAATTCAACCAGATGATGAGAGGGTGATTAAATTTATTGACTATTTAGTTGAACCTTATATAGATGAAATTTCTACCTTTCCTCCTAATATTTGGGCTGAAAATTCTTCTATAACAAACGCATGCGAATCTTTTCATTCGCGTTATAATGCTTCATTTTATAATACACACCCATATTTTAACCAGTTTATAAAAGTTCTTCTAGATTTTCAAATAGATACCTACATTAAGCTTCAAAGTATTGATACCGTGGTAAAAGTTATAATAGAAAAGTATTAATAAAAAAAAAGTTTTGGATGATAATTTTAAAAAATTGCAAGATGGCGTTACCAATTTTTAATTTGTAAAAAATATTTCTTTTAAATGCAGAATTTAATTTATATTATAAGTGTGTACAGTGAAAACAATTTTTATATTATTTTTGTAAACATTATTGTCTTGAAATACAATATATCCGTTATTATAAAATATATGTATCGAACTTAATTTTTTTATTGTTTATTTATTTGTATAGAGTGTATTTTGTTTTATATTATATAATAAAATAATTATAATTTCCTAATTACTTAACTATACTTGTAAAAACATTTATTTTAAATTTAAAAAAAGTCATTTTTTATAATTTCTCAACGTGATACGTATTTATTTAACAAGCAAAAGAAATTATGAAAAAATTACTTTGTTTTCATTTAAAATAAATATTTTAGTCCATCCGTGAACAAATTGTATAATTATGTAGAACTAAATCACATTACAACATCTATAAAACGTTTCAGAACAACTTTCGGAGAAAGTACTGTATACAGTGTGATGTGTGATGTTCTTCGAACTTTACTTTGTAACCCCTATAAGATGTGCTATAAAAGTGCAGATAAGGATATTCGGTCATTGCATGGATGTAAGAGTTACATTAAAAGTACCATTGCATGCGAGCTTAAATAGCCCGGATGTTTATGTGCTAGCTGGGTGCTATTTCAAAAATAAAACTTGGGAAGAATCTTGTATATTTTAGTTAGTTAGTTTTGTATGTACGTTTATCATATTGTATATGTACTTGTTTATTTGTCAGTATCTGCCACTTCGACTTTTTGTCTTTAGCATACATTTTTTAAAATATACAGGGTGTTTTTTAAACATGCGACAAAAATTCAAGGGGTTGTTCCTTGAACTATTCTAAGAATATTTTGTCCTTTGATATGATTTTTGAAAATCCGTTTTGTTAAGTGGTAAAAATAGCCGTTTTTAGTAATTGGAATGTTGTTAAAAATAATAAAAATAACGAATTTTTAAAAAAGTTGTATGTTCTTGGTTAACACAGTATAGTACCTATTTTTATTTAGACTATTAATAATTTTAAAAAAATTTTTCTCGAAAATGTTGTGCCCTGTATCTCCTAAACGAAATGGAATTTTAAAAATCATCAATGAACAAAATATTCTTAGAATTGTCCAAGGATCAACCCCTTGAATTGCCGCATGTTTAAAAAAACACCCCGTATATGTAGTTTGCATTGGTTATTTTTTTACAATTTATTTAGAGTATTATTATATATTAGTAGACACAAATTAAGATACTAAAAAATGTCCAATTCACCGTTCCGCAGCTACAAGGGATAAAAATCCGGAAATGTTACTGAATTCCGTTAGAAATAAATGTGTATCAACTGTCGCACATGTACAATTCCATTTCCCCTTACTTACATTTAGTTATTTATCTCATATATTATTTTTGTTTACCTGGAACACAATATGTGAAAGGTTGTTCTCGTCCCTATCTATCGGAGAGAGCAGCTGTAGTTTTTTCCCGTTGAGGAAAAATAGTGGTACGCCTTTGGGAAAAGATAGATCCAGAAATACATCTACGTTGGGTTCCCCTGATATTGGTAACTCTGCAGGAACAGTTTCTTGACTAATTGCTGTAAAAGAAAAAAAACATTTTGTATTTTTATATTTATGATAATATAGTATATTATATAACTAGTGTGGAATTTAACCCAATAAATGAAAGAATAGCCTATCTACGAGTAAAAACAAAATCATTTAATATATCATTGCTTAATATATACGCCCCTACGAAAAAACACCAAACCAGAGGAAAAAGAGGCTTTCTACCATAAAGTAAAAGAAGAAATAGAAAATATTCCAAAGGAAGATGTAATGAAAGTGCTTGGAGATTTTAATGCAAAAATAGGCTAAGAAGATCATATAGAGCAAGTAAATACACCATACATGAAAAAAAAAAACAAACGACAACGGGTAGAGGTTATGTGACCTAGCAGCTCAAACAAATATGATCATAAGATCTACAAAATTTAAACATCCCTAAATGCATAAAGTAACTTGGATATCAGCAGATGAAAAAATATATGTACAACCAAATTGATCACGTACTAACACAAAAAGAAAATATTCGACAATAAAAGATGTAAGGACATTGAGAGGAGCATGTGCAGATTTCGATCATTACATAACACAAAAGTGAAAAGAGCTAAACAAATTGACACAAATGGGATGTAGAAGAAAACATTGGGATTGCACAGAAAAAAGTAAGAAAATAGAAGATAAAAGGGCCTATGAAGAACTAAGAAAACAAACCAAAAAACTGATAAGAACAAGTAAAAGAAGGTGGATAGACAATAAAATAAAAATAATTGAACAAGAAGGAAGTAAGAAAAACACGAAAGACTTTAATAAGAAAATTAGGAACAAAACAAAATGTACAAAGGCAAAACAAGGAATAAAAAATAAAAAAGGGGAAGTGATACTGGAAGATGAAAATGAAGAATACAAGCAGGTGTGGACAGATTATTTTAAAGATCTCCTAATTGATCCGGAGATAGAAGAATCTGAGATAATAGAGAAAGAGGAAATAAAAGAAAGGGACATAATTGCTGACTCAACAAGAGAAGAGATAGAAAAGGTAATTTGGAAAAATGAAAATGTAAAATCACCAGAAAAAGATGAAATTAACATAAAACTTAATAAATATGGAGGCAACGAATTGAAAGAAAGACTATTATTTCTAATTCAGAAAATATGGAAAGTGGAAAAAATGCCGAGAGAGTGAGACCAACAAATATGTAAAAATTACAGAGGAATAACACTTCTTAATACAGCTTACAAAATACTTTCAGCAATAATACAAAGACGGCTAGCGCATACAACAAAAAAGGTGATAATACAGTACCAATGTGGATTCACACATGGGAAATCAACTATAGATGCAATCCATTCAATAAAACTAATAATGGAAAAGGCGTATGAACACAAAATAGAATTATAAATACTTTTTATTAATTTTGAACAAGCCTTTGACTCAATAAAAAGAACAAAACAAAAAAGAAAAGCTGGCCTTACAAAACTTAGGAATACAAATGAAGTTAAGGTGGTTAATAACAATGACGATACAAGAAACAAAAATTAACATAAAAACACAAAAAGGAGCAACAGAAGAATTCATAATTAATAAAGGAGTAAAACAGGGAAATTCGCTATCAGCCACTTTGTTCAACCTCTCATTAGAGTATGTGACGAGGAAAATTAATAAAGGAAAACTGAGAACAGGGGGAGGACAAGTCATTGCATATGCAGATGACATAGTGATAATTTTAAAAACAAGAAAAATCATGGTAAACATCTTGAACGAAATTGTAAGAGAAGGAAAAATTATGGGACTGGAGCTAAACCAAGAAAAAACAAAAATCCAGGGATTAGATAACTAAGAAGCATAAAAAAGCATTAAAATAGGAAAACATGAATTCGAAGAAGTGCAAAAATTTAAATACTTGGGAATCACAAGAGCTGAAACTGGAGACAGAAAACTGGAAATATCAGAAAAAATAGTCACTACAAATAAAGCTTTTCACGCAAATAAAAAATTACTTAAAAGCAAATTACTCACAAAAATGAAAATATACAACACAATAATCAGACCAATACTACTGTACGCAGCAAAAACTATGAAAGAAAAATTATTAGAGCAATATTAGGATCAATAAAAATGACAAAAAAACAATATAGAATACGAACAAATGAGGAAATTAAACAAGAGCTAGAAGATATAATAAGAAAAAACAATCCAGAGTTAGATGGTTGGGACATGTTTGAAGAGCAGGAAATGGAACATTCGTTCATTCAATGTTACAATGCCAAATTGCTAGAAGAAATCCTAGCGTTTCTCATCCAGAGCTACAACGACAACTTCTGGAAGCTACATGTGTGAACGTTTCAGTCGAAACTCGCACTCGAGGGTTGTACAGGGTGATTCTTTTATCATGGGAAATGAGTTTTTCTCGTAAACGGATTCTTCAAATTAAGTTCTGTAAAAACTATTTTATTGAGGCTGATTGATGCTTGAAATTGGGATGGATATGGAAGTTATAATTAAGCGACTCTGGGCGTCGCGACGCTTCAAATTTTTTTTGTCAGAAGCATATCATTTTTATTTTAGAAATTGAAAGACCTATTCAATAGAAACACTTTTTTTAAATACCATTTTTTTTTTCATCTAAAACCATTTAAAGGTGACAGACCAGATTTTATGTTTCAAATTTGTCGATTGACATACAAAGAATGCATGGGTTTTTAAAATTCACTAAATCAGGTAGGCTTTGAAAAAACAAACTTGTCCTATATTGATTGCTGTATAAAACTGTCAGAGTAATTTTAATTATTTTGGTTAAAATAGAAAGTTTCAAAGCCTACCTGATTTAGTGATATTTAAAAAACCATGCGTTGTTTGTATGACAATCGACAAATTTAAAACATAAAAACTAGTCTGTAATTTTTAAATGGTTTTAGATAAAAAAAGTGTATGTATAGAAGAGATCTTTCAATTTCTAAAATAAAAATGATATGCTTCTGACAAAAAAATTCACTTAATTATAACTTCCATATTCATCCTAGTTTCAAGCATCAATCGGTGTAAATAAAATACTTTTTGCAGAACTCAATTTCTGCAGCCGTTTACGAGAAAAACTCATTTCCCATCATAAAAGAATCACCCTGAACAGTAGGAGAGAGTCCGGGTCCCACCGTTATCTAGACAAAATAAAATTGACCGGCTAAATTGTTGCTTTCAACACCAAAACTGGACATCGAGAATTGGCAAAATGTTCTTTTTTCTGATGAGACCAGAATTGGCCTAAGATCAGATGATCATCGAATTCGGGTGCTCAGAGCTCCAGGAGTATGATCGAGATTCCACGCTGATGGATCTGTCTCAAGATATCAAGGAGATACTGTAATGTTCTGGAGAGATATTATGCTAGGAGCAAAAACTCCATTGTTTCCACTTCAAGAAACTTTAACCGGTCCGAGGTATGTTGATTTAATGGTAGAACCAATCGTTAGGCTTTGGAGAGCTGCAATTGGAGATAATTTTATCTTTAGGCACGGTACTGCACCTCCCCATACCAGCAGAATGGCTAGAGAATGTCTTGAAACAGTTTTACAATGGCCTGCATATTCTACAGACCTAAATCCTATCGAACACTTGTGGGACCAGCTCAAAAGAAGAGTTAGAGCTCGTTAAAACAATGCCCAGCTTATTGATGAGTATTAGCAGAATGGAAAAACATACCCCAAGACAATGTTGACAATTTAATAAGAAGCATGCCAAGGCGAATATTGGTTTTGTTTTTCGGCTATTAAAAATTTAAATCTCATTTCGTTTCAAAAACTAAAATAATACCATTGTTTATTTTGTCAACTAATTGATTATTTTTATTACCATGTGGGTTTTTTGTCATTAAAAGTCTTTGGTAAGAACTGAGTGTTATTCATAAACAAAAAATGTTTATACATCTCAAAAATTATGAAAAATATCACATGATTCCATATAAGTCTGGTTGTGTTGTGAAGTGGAAACGCAACGCGTGTAGGAAATACACTTTCCAACACTAGTTTTTCAACGACCTTAATGCGTGTTAATCAAATAATGTTAAATTCAACAGTTATTAGTGTTCTAGTTTTAAGACGGATTGTGATTTATTTGTTGATTTGTGATTTGTTAATTTTTTGCATATTTTTGATTGGCAAAGAAAATGAATACAGTAAATAAAACAACAAAAGAAAAGTAAACCAAAAAAATTTCTTACTGGAAAACACAATTTTAATTTTAAAGAAACTTTTATTTGGTTCGATTAAAATTAGGTAAATGAAAAAAAAAGTCACTTGGATAGACTAACTGATATACCGAGTGAATAAAGATTATGGTCACGCTTATATTTAAAAAAATAATTTTTATATTAAATTGTCTGAATTACCTACACATTTAGAATAAAGCAGGAAGAAGTTTACTCGGCATTAAAAGAAATCAAAATAGGACTACCACAAGGGAGTGTATTGGGACCTATTAAGTATCTACTAAACACTAGTGATATTCCGGAATTAGAAAGTATAGCAACGTCTGCAGATGACGATGACACTGCCTTCTTAAACGTAGAAGAAGACCGTGAATATATAGCTAGAAAATAGCACAACTTTCTTAATAAAATTAGTAAATATGGATGGTTATTCTGAACAAGAGTATTTTAAATCGAATCAAAATACGCAAAAATATACATAGTGTTAGGTTTTTCTACTGGGAAATAATCGAGATCAGGCCCTATAACTGTATATTTGGACATACAGTTCAATTCTAAACAATTTTTCTAAATTAAGTTATTAGATATTTTCTATTTAGATAGATTTTGTATTTAGATATTTACTCTCTAACAAAAATTTTATAATTCTCTTTATGCATATGTTTTGCAATTATGAAAATTTAATTATTATATTTTACGTACAGGCGGCTGTAACTGTATATTTGAACATATAGTTCAATTCTAAAGAACTTCTCGAAATTACATTTTTCGATATGTATGTATATATTTTGCCTTTATGAAAATTCAGTCATTATATTTTACGTTTTAGA